TATATTTACCTTTTCAGCATTTCCTGTCAAACCTTCAATGGCGGGCAATGCTTAATACTTGGTGCTTCTGCTTATAGGGAAGCCTACCATGATATAGTGCTGGGGCCATCCTGCCAATTGCTGGGCACTGTCACATGAAGGAGGGAATAACATTGTCACTCTTTCTAGGCTCCAACACTAATTGACACATGTATTTTGATTGCCGCTGTGTCAGAGCAAGAAGCAGAGGGGCTCCCTGGAGAGGCAAGTATAAAGTGGTCAGAAGGTTTTCCTTACACAGGTAGGGTCATTTTACCCATTTACGGCAATGAGGAAAGGTCTCTTTAAGCTGGTTACTCATGTTATAATCTGATTGTAAAATCTCCTTCCTCTATTTCCTTTTGTCAGCATATTCCTTTCCAGCACATGTGCATGAATCCGATCTAAACTGCCTTAGGCTGACCATACACCTGTCAGATTTATTTCCTTTAACACGCGGGCTGAACTAAGGGATTTGACCCGATTCCTCCAGCAACACAAACAGCGTGACGATCGAGGAATCGCCGCTGTTTGCATTGTATTCTGAGAGGTGCTGCCAGCACCTCTCAGAATACCCGATCAGAGCGGGCAGCTCATTGGCTGCCGGCTCTGACCACACAAAGATTTTCCAGCAGACACATTAAAAACTGGCCGAGATTCGCCCAGTGTATGGCCACCTTTAGAATTCTGACCCTACCTCTCTCAGTCTAAAGCTGGCCATACACTGTTATATTTTCTATTGGCTGAATTAAGAAAATATAACACATTCCTCCATCAATGCTTAAGAGTGTGGATGGAGGATTCCCTCGCTGCCGGCCACTGTCAGAATACCTGAACGGAGTTTACAGCTGATTTGTTGCAAGCTCCTCCCGGCCAAAGATTTTCCGTCTGGATCCTTCAATCTCCTGATGGAGGGATGCCGGCCGGAAGCGTACCAAGGAGTGGTACATGCTGTGCGAATTTCGGCTGGTTCATCAAGAACCGGCCGTAATTCTCATAGTGTATGGCCAGCTTTAGTTCTATGATATCATGACAGATTTAGGCACTTTAATTACATTTAGAAATAAATGACATTAATGAGTGCATACCTGAGTTAAAGGTTGTTGTTTGAGATATATCTGGTGTTCTGCTTTAAGAACACCAAAGTAAAAACTATGAAACGTAGGTGGAAAATCAGAACCAACCATTCAAAAGACTAGTTTGTGTTCTCAGATTAATTTAAAATGCGAAATTGTCATAGGTGGAGAGTACCTTTCAGTTTTGTCCCAAAAAAGGTAAAGGGAAATCTTCAACGAGTCAGCAGAGAGGAAGACAGACTCATAGCATCACGGCACTGGACACTATTGGGGCAATTTGTAGGAATGTGGGTGTCATGTAATCTGGTATGTGATAATCTTCTCAACCTTATTTAAGCCTTCTGAGGTTCCAGGATCAAAACCGAGAGAGCCGCGGGTAGGCAAATGTCCATGATAGTCAGGATGGATCAGGCCAAAGGAAATCTCACCACTCCAATTCCTTAGTCACCATCAGGACTCCTCAGGTGCTGGTCCAATAGGTGCGTCTCCACCTTAGAATGCAGTAGTATACGAACAGACCGCACTATCCAGAGAATTCCAATACTGCAGACTTTATCAAAATTCACAGCAAATCCAGTATAACAGTGAAAAAGTGTATAAAGCTACAAATGCCAGCACTGCACACCCCCAACCAACTACAACCTCTCACATGTTTCACCCGAAGGCTTATTCATAGAGGTCAGGATGGATCAGGGTTTCTAAATAGTTTTGCTAAATGAATGACATTAAAGTCACCGGTAATGAACATACTTTGTGCTTATAGTTCCACCATACCTTTTGCTTAGGCTCACAGAGCTGGGCGTTGTACAGGCCATACATCACATAGAGAGCACCCACACGTATCTGGAATGTGTATGGCGGCAGGAAGTAGGGGGAGACCACAGAGAACGCTTCTCTGGCAAATCTGTTGCTCTCTAGATTTCTCATTCCACCACTGCAATGGAAAAAGACAAAACAATAAATATTTTCTGGCCTTCTCGAGTTCAGATGCCACCTACTCAAACACACATTACTGTTACACGAGAAGAATTATACACTTTACAATGGATCCGAATAACAAATTAAATAACTTAGGTCCTATATCCCAATTTATCCACACTCCTTTACAAATGTATCACTCTACAAAACCACAACCACTTTGATCAGAGTTGACAAATCAGGGCTACCCTGCCAGTAATCATTAAACCATAGTGTTGCTCCAGGTCGGTCAGCGCTTGCCTGCCACAGTCAGGTGCTCGCACAACTCCTCACTGGTAATACTATTGCAGAAAAAATGGATAGTGGCACACTGACATATTCCAGAAGTGGCTTCTTTATTGATTTGTATACTCAATTACACGGGTGATGAACAGGATCTTCCAACATGTTTCATGCAGACAGGCGATGAATAGAATCTTCCAACATGTTTCATGCAGACAGGCGATGAATAGAATCTTCCAACATGTTTCATGCAGACAGGCGATGAATAGAATCTTCCAACATGTTTCATGCAGACAGGCGATGAACAGGATCTTCCAACATGTTTCATGCACACAAATGCTTAGTAAATGCAATAAAGATGTTCCTTGTATGCATTGCGCCAAGATGTTTATGTACCCGTGGCTGGGGAGTGGTTGAATCACACCTTTATATCTTAAGCTGCCCATACATCTATAGATTATCTGCAGATTTTCTATGGTTAGATGGGAAAAGTGCAACAGATTCCTCCATCTACGCTAAACTGTGTGTATGGAGGAATCTCCCACTGGGCCAAGCTTCAGGATCTTACTAGTCGGCCCCGCTGGCACTCATCTTCACACACCACAAAAAACAGAATTCAGAATTACAATCGCCACTTTAAGCCTCCCAGCAAAAGTAAACTGTTGTGAATACGTACAAGAATATGGTGTGGAATTTCATCTCTTTCCATATTGCCAAAAATTCCTCATACCGCACGCTGTCAGTGTCCTGGAAACGGCTGAGAAGGGTCTCACAATCTTCTTTCAGACCTAGGAAATTCATCCTGCAGGAACATTAAAAAGGCACAGACAAAAGTTGTTAGAGTTTATGACACAAGAAATAATTAATTTGAACAACAGGTTAAAACAATGTCATTTGCCTTTAATTTGACTTAATTTCCTAATAAAGTCAGGAGTACTTTCCTGTGTTGAAGCAGCTTCCACATAACAGAAGCAAGACATAGAACTGCAGACCTCTTAGCACAGGAAAAACAGTACAATCCCTTTATTTTGGTTTTGGTATGGGGTGAAGGGAAAACAATGACACCTCATACTCAACCTCACAGTATTTCCTGCTCCTTCCTCCATCACAGCCAGCACAAAATGCCTGTGCTTGCTGGAGTCAGAGGTTAGAGGGAACTGTGACTGTCACATGGCAGTGTTAGAGCCTAGTAACTGGACGCCAGGCCTGAGCATCTCATCATGGGAGGAGGTCCCATGTTCCACCATACCTGAAAGCACCGGGTATTTTGCAGTGGCAGCCACAGGAGGAGGAGAACTGCGTGAATGCGAGTATAGCGTGTTTGGCGGTGGGCTTTACAAAGAGCCAGTCACTTTGCCCTGAACAGGCAAGGTGACAAGGTCTCTTTTGGGCCAGTTTATACCACAAACAGTGCGTTCCAGAGCCTGATCGCTCTCCGGACGGCTCCCTGCGTTCAGCAGCGGGAGGGGGCGTGTCGGTCCATTGGAGTCAATGGCATCGCAGCCCCCGCCCACAGTGCGATCACCCGCACCCAATCGCGTGGCACACCAGTGCCTGCGTTCCGGCCCAGTGTGATCTGCAAAAATAGTGCTTGCACTGCGGGTAGGGGGGCGTGGCTGCGGTGCCATTGACTTCAATGCACCGCCACGCCTCCCTGAACGCAGGGAGGCGGCCGGAGTGCGATACAGTGCGTTCCAGAGCCTGACCGCTCTGGAACGCACTGCTTGTGGTGTGAACCGGCCTTTAAAGCAGATAATACGGCAGAGATTATGTTTTCATGTATAGTGCATGTAGACTAAGAAACGTGTAACACATTCTGGGGGGAGTTTATCAACAATAAAGCAGACAAAATCTGGAGCAGATTTGCACTGCAACCAATCAGCATTTTTCTCTCTTGTTCAAATCTTACCCGAGAAAACTGAGGACAGATGCCGATTGGTTGAAATGGGCAAATGCTCCAGATTCTGTCTGCTCCAGTTTTGATGCATTCCCCCCACTGTTTTTTATTACCGTTTTCTATAGAGGTCAATTAGAGAAATAGCTCAGTTATAATGCTGTGTATGCAGAAGTCTTTATGTTGTTAGTTGTGTTTTCGTTCTTTACACACCTTTTAGCCCTCAGATGCTTCCTCTCATTCTGTGACCGGCCAGTCACTATATTCAGTCAGTCTGCTTACCTACTGACATGTCAGAAGACTACACTAATCAGCAATCAGAGGTGGACGGGGAGACTGCGCAAAAAGTTTCCCTCTGCCTGCAGCAGACCGATGACATCATTTTCTCAGCATTCCCCTGTGAGGCCTAGGCACAGTCACCAGACTGGAGTTCAGGGATTGCTATTTAATCATAGAAAGTATAGGTTTTGTTTAGGAAAATGTATAGTGTTCCCGTATATTGTCACACATTAGGATATTACTCCTGCAGAGATGTTACAAAAACTGACAGGTCCGCTTTAAATGTTGGGATTGCATGAAGTAAATAGTAATCGTATTATTCACATTTTACATTGAATACGAATACATTCTACTCACTTGTCAGAGGCTCGCCTCTGTTTCAGAAGTATGTCCGGCAATTACTTCAGCCATTCAGCCAGCAGAGCTAAGGACATAAGAAAAAGAAAGAATTAGGCTAATTGGAGAATAGTAAACCTAAAACCAAGACTGCCCCCTCAAGCAGCAAAGCAATGCTGGTCATATACGCTGCCCAGCCAAAAATAAAAGTCACACTCATATATTCTGTTGGACCGCCTTTGATTTTAGCTCTGATTGCGGCACACAATCGCTGTGGCATCGTTTGATAAGCTTATGCGATGTCACAACATTTATTTCCCTCCAGAGTTGCATTCATTTTTCCCCAAGGTCTTGTAGTGATGATGGGAGAGTCGGACCTCTGCGTAAAGTCTTCTCCAGCACACCCCAAAGATTCTAAATGGGGTTAAGATCTGTACTCTGTGGTGGCCAATTCATGTGTGACAATGACGTCACATGCTCCCTGAACCACTCTTTCACAATTTGAGTCCCATGAATCCTGGCATTGTCATCTTGGAATATGTGCCATCAGGGAAGAAACAATCCATTGATGAAAAAACCTGGTCATTCAGTATATTCAGGTCAGCAGCTGACCTCATTTTTTGGGGACATAACGTTGCTGAACCTGGACCAGACCAACTGAAGCAACCCCAGATCATAACACTGCCTGAAATCCAGGTGGTGACTTGTTTGGTTTTTTTGGCCGGGCAGTGTACTAGTAGACTTTTTTTCCATTCAGCTTGAGGGCAGTTTGGATGCAGAAACTCCTTACCCCGCAGGGTATTGTATTCTGACAGCAGTGAGTGTGCCACTGTCAGAACATCCAAACAGTTTGGCTAAGAAATTTGTCACCCGGGTCCTTCAATTTTTAGATCGAAGGACGCCTGGACGGCGACTGCCGACAGGGCCACCCGCGAAGAGAACTGCAGCCGCTTTATCAAGAACTGGTTGAAATTCGCTCAGTGTACACAAATGCCGTGTTACAAACAAAGTTTACTTCATGATAAAACTGCATGCACAATTTTTTGGAATCGCCCTGCACTGCATTGTGGTACTGTGCGTTACAGTGCGGGCGATCACACCGTGGGTGGGAGGCGTGTTTGGGCATTTGAAATGAATGGCACTGCAAAGCACCTCCCGCAGCAGAATTTTTCAGGCCAAAACCAAAAATGACTTTTTTCCCACCTTTTATAATTTTTTTTCTTAATAATTGCATTGTAAGCACATGGCGCTTGAGTAGCTTCAGCCCGGGAATGACAGCTGCCAGCGGCAAGATCCCGCAGACGGCAGCTGAAATGTAAATACAGCAGGTAGTGGGCAGGTGCAATAGCCAGCCTGCTATTGGCCACTTTAAATTGCAATAGCAGACTGGCTATTGCACCTGCCCACTGCTCACTGTGCCCTCCTCCCAGCGTGGAGGAGAGAGCTAGGAGATCCAACCAACTAATCCATAATGAGAATAGTTGACAACTAATCACATTATCGATTAATCAATTAGTTGGTTGCAGCTCTACTATTTCACCAATACCTAATGCTGGGCACACACCTTACAACCATCGCAAGACTTTTGTCTTGCGATGGTTGTAAGGTAATTAAAAAAACGCACGATCTGGCCATCTTGGACAGGCAGATCGTACTTGCGATAATCGCAAGCCCGCTGAGGGGCGGGCTTCCGGTGACCGCAATGCTGACGGGCAGTGTGCGCTTGCGCACACCGGCCCGTGCGGCTTTTATCTTGTGAACATGCCACAAACCTCCAACATGCTCCAAAGACAAAAGTCGTGCCATCGTACAGTAGAAACGGTTGCACGCCTTCCACACACCTTGCAATAATCGCGGGATTTCCCACGATCATACGATTATCGCAAGGTTTGTGGGCACCTTAAAAGCAGCACCTTGTTGACACCCGGCAATTGGCAGCAAATGTGGCAGGGGGACCACACATGTGCTACACACGTCCTGTGTACTTTGGTTAAACTTTTTTTTTGGGCGTGTGTAGCATGCCCAAAGTGCAAAAAGTGATGTTCACGCAAGCCAGACAGTCAGTGTAATTACAGCTGGTGTGAAACAGACCTTCGTACACCACGTTTACAAACACTGCTTATACTTGTGGTAGAGATACAAACTAACAATATTGTGACTTTGTATTTCCTATTTATCTGCAGATCAAAGGGACGAGCTTAAAGCGCACCTTTACACTCAAGAATCAAATTCTACCAATGGGCACAACCGTTGGGCACCTCCACCATACAGAGAGGACAGGGAATCGCCAGCTGGGCACCTCCACCATCCAGAGAGCACAGGAAGTCGCCAGCAGGGCACCTCCACCATCCAGAGAGCACAAGGAGTCGCCCGCTGGGCACCTCCACCATCCAGAGAGCACAGAGAGTTGCCCGCTGGGCACCTCCACCATCCAGAGAGCACAAGGAGTCGCCCGCTGGGCACCTCCACCATCCAGAGAGCACAAGGAGTCGCCCGCTGGGCACCTCCGCCATCCAGAGAGCACAGGGAGTTGCCGGCTGGGCACCTCCACCATCCAGAGAGCACAAGGACTCGCCCGCTGGGCACCTCCACCATCCAGAGAGCACAAGGAGTCGCCCGCTGGGCACCACCATCCAGGGAGTACAGGGAGTCGGCCGCTGAGCACCTCCACCATCCACAGAGCACAAGGAGTCGCCTGCTGGGCACCTCCACCATCCAGGGAGTCGCCCGCTAGGAACCTTCACCATCCAGGGAGTACAGGGAGACGGCCGCTGAGCACCTCCACCATCCACAGAGCACAAGAAGTCGTCTGCTGGGCACCTCCACCATCCAGGGAGTACAGGGAGTCGCCTGCTGGGCACCTCCACCATCCAGAGAGCACAAGGAGTCGCCCGCTGGGCATTTCCACCATCCAGGGAGTACAGGGAGTCGCCCGCTGGGCACCTCCACCATCCGGAGAGCACAAGGAGTCGCCCGCTGGGCATTTCCACCATCCAGGGAGTCGCCCGCTGGGCACCACCAGCATCCAGAGAGCACAAGGAGTCGCCCGCTGGGCACCTCCACCATCCAGGGAGTACAGGGAGTCGCCCGCTGGGCACCACCAGCATCCAGAGAGTCGCCCGCTGGGCACCACCAGCATCCAGAGAGTCGCCCGCTGGGCACCTCCGCCGTCCAGGCAGCACAGGGAGTCGCTCACTGGGCACCACCAGCATCCAGAGAGTCGCCCGCTGGGCACCGCCACCATCCAGAGAACGCCCTATTTCAATGAATACAAGTCATTCTCTGATTTGACTAT